TATAACGCCACCAAATTATTGGTTTAAATTTGTAATTATTAATGAAAGTTGATTCAAAATTTTCCATAAATAAATTACTAAAAAATGGGGATAGTAGTGACCCCATAAATGAATTTATTTTGTTCATTTTAACATTGATCGCATGCAAAATGTATCATTTTGTATTTTTTAAATTAAATTTAGCGAAGCGTTATTCAGCTATCATTTATTAGCACACTAAGGATATTTTCGGACGTTTAATACGTGTTAAAATAATGCCCCTTCCTCATGAAACGCCCTGTATGTGATTGATCAAATACTAGGTATAAAGTTTCAGGAAAAGTTTTGATGTTTTCTGAAAGTTGCCCTATAAAAACATTTGAGATGTCGAGGTTTGAACGCCCACGGTACCTATCTATTCTAACACGTTTTTCTAAATGGGTCTTTTCGAGGTTTATTAAAAACGTAAGGGGCGTAACATGTCTCCCCAGTTTAATCATTTTCCGTTTTTCATTAACAAATTAAATTAGAAATACTTCTTGAGGAAGAACAACTTTAAGACCCCCGCCAGCTGACAATTTGGACTATGGCGTATAGGTTACCGGGAATGTTCAAAATCCATAGGCATTCTGCAAACTTACCAACTCGCCAATCATTTTGCAAAATTGCTACTACTTTGGGTAATCTGGAAATTGATTACGGTATTTTAGGCAATCCGCAAAATGCCGTACGCGCTGGTCAATCTGAGTATTAGAAATGTATGTGTATAATCTTCACATTAGACAGAGTGCATACCTCCTGATGCTAGGAAGCTTTGCTGCTTACCTTAGTGCCATTTGGTAATTGCGAGCGAAAATAACAGAGTTTTGGTGAACTTTAACCTGTGATGCATAGTAAAGTTGCATGTTAAAAAACTAAAGAGCAAATTTCCGTAGCAATAGTAAAAGCAAAGCTTTACAGCATTACCCACTGTCTACTCAATGTGAATAGTAAATATCTTCAAAACTCAGATTAACTGGCGCGTACGGCATTTTGCGGATTGCCTAAAATACCGTAGTCAGTTTGCAGATTGCCCAAAATAGTAGCAATTCTGCAAAGTGCCTAGCAAATTGGTCAGTTTGCAGAATGCCTAGACATTTTAAACAGTCGTTAAACATTTTAGACAAATTAAACATTCAAATAAGAAAGTCAAGAAATAATGGCCCTGAAAAATCATCCTGCATATTGATATTGTCAACTAACCATATTGTAATCGTCATATACATATTTTTAGACTATTGAGAGAAGACTTTGTAGCTCCTCTACGACGCGGTATTAAAACATTTTTAAGAAATGAATCAAAGCCCAGAAAAAAATGGAAAAAGCTAGAATCTGTGAAGATTTATAGACCGGTCAGATTTCTTCACGCCGAGGCAGTTAATGAATACCATTGCTACAAGCTCCAATTCGACTTCGGACATAAGAAACGTGTTTTATCTTATGAACATTCTAAGCTGTTTATGTTTGGTTCATTAGTTTGCTTAACCCGAGACAATTTCCAGCATTTTATGTTTGGGACCGTTGTTAAAAGAGATCCAGAACTACTTCAGCAAGGATTGCTTGTTGTTGGATTTTCAGGGGATGTACAGGTACGTACATTTAATAGAAATCTCCATAGAGGTTTGCTTTTAATAGATTTGTACAAGCTCTCTTTCTGCTCAATGTTATTTTCATGCTTGGCAGAAGAAAATATGTCTTTTAAGCATGGGTAACACAGTGGATTTTCACGTGTAGGCGCACTAATATCAATACGTCTTGCCGCGCCAATACAACGAGTCAACGCATTTTATGATGCGGTCAACTCATAATGCGATAAACAAACGATTACAAGAATATTATTGTGTAACATCTAAAGACAACATTGTCAGTGCTTCAATTTGTGTCAACCGTGCATTCTTTTTATGATATACGATTCGAAATTCGGGTAAACTGCTCGTGAAGGCCGCACGAACTTGCAATCCGAAGTCTGTCTATCAAGACTGTCGCAAGACGCTCAGAGCGGCATCAACACAAAAGTACCATTCAACACAGTTACCCATGCCTGATGTCTCTAAACTGTATTTCTTTGGTTAAATTCATCCTTAAGTTCTAATGAGTATGTTAAGAGAAGCGTACGTATGTTTGTAGCGTGACAATCACAAACGTTTCACTACCATTTAGTCTAATTTTGTTTGTTCAATGTTATGGTTATGGACAAGCAGGGTGGCCAACTTTTTAAACGCGTATTACCGTACAAGTCATTTGAAAATACATTACTGCCGTATTTTACCGTACCAGAGATTTTGAACCTGAAAAACAAAAAAAGATCTTCATTCTGGGCTGAGAACATGGCTGGTGACCCAAAAAAAAAAAGTCCAAAGTCCCCCTCATAGTAGGAACATAGGTCTCAGACATGAAAAGAGCCTTCACACTGGTTAACGTAAACGTGCCATATTTTACCGTACAAAAAATACCAAAATACCGTACAATTGGCGTACGGAAACGCGGTCGGGACATACACCGTACAATTGCCCAAATTGAAAACAGGCTCGGGAGCATGGATATTTTATTTTTCATTTGAGAAACTACGATAAGTTTTCGATAAATATGTCGAGCCATTAGTATTTTCTTTTAAATTGATACAGGTTTTTAATAAGGCAATACGCACCGTCATAAATGTTTGCTAATTGAAGAGCGCAATTAAAGAACAAGTATGAGCGCCAAACTAAATAATCCGAGAAGAAAGAGTACACAAGATTGTTCCTTTCTTTTTCTTCTTGTTCAGGTTTTCTTTGTATCTCTGCGTATATTTTTCACATGCATTTGTATCACCTTATTTTTTCATTCCTTCAACTCTTTGTTTCTATCTATTCTAATAAAACTGTATATACAGAGTCATCTACGTAGAACGCGCATTAGAATTTTTCCAACTTGCAATTGTTTAAGAAACTTCAAATTTTGTTTCCGGTCGTAACGAGTCGTACCGAAACCATGTAAAATACATTTAGCCCTCTAGCTATACAGGGTGTACGAACATTATAACCTAACTTCCTTATTTTAAAGGTAAACCCCTAATTTCTGTAGTATCGTTGGATTGACCCTTCAATTGCGAGTCTGGGTAACCCTAGTTTTAATAACTTATCTCTATTGTTTATGAAAAGAATACCATTACAGATATTTACGGACCAAGCAATATCTAAGACGGTTCTAAATTCTAAACCCAAATTCTGTACGTAGTATCCAGTTTGTAACATATGAGTGCATGTAGTGTACAAACATTGACGTAAAAAAATGTGAAAAAATCAGTTTTAAATGGCACCTACTAACTTTTTTGGTCCTGTATAGTTTGGTTTCTTATTGTTATCTTTTTCAACCCGGACCAAAAAAGTTTGTTGGTGCCAATTAAAAAAAACTGTTTTTTTACATCGGAATCATTGAAAAATGTGCATTGAGAGAAGCAGTCAATGAAATTAAATTTAAGATAGGTACTTATTATGTATACGCTGCTGATTGAAGAGGAAGCAAATTTACGAATGTTCAATATCAACCACTGAAATTAAATTGTAAGAAAATCCGCTAAACAATAATAAATATCACGCACCAAAAAATCTATATCGAAATTTAGAAGAAAATGTAGTATGAAATTAAATTGAAAAGGTAGAAAACCGAGTAAAAAATGTTGTTTTTGAAAATGGAACAAATCCCTAATGAGATTGCAAGACCTCTTAATTTGGAATGTAAATCACAGACGAAAACTTCAATAAATGCAACAAATTACCTTCCCTTCCAAGACAATAGAAAGTGTAATTTACACAAAAAGACACTTGTTTTACTTTACATCTTTGCTGTTTCGTTCGTATTAAAACAATAAATTGAAATAACGCAGTACAGAATCAGGTACTTTCTTGTCGTTCCCCGTAGCATAAATATTACATACAATAATATAATAAAATACAAGTCAACAATATCTAAAAGTGATCTGCCAAGGAAAATGTAAAGCCGAACTTAACGAAAGCTGCATCGGGTCACCTGGAAAGAAAAAAAAGGTGTTAATGAACAGGAAATAATTCTAAGCTCTACTGAAATTCGAATGTAAAAAAGCCGTGAAATATTTGTTCGCTCTCAAAAGACCCGCTCCGCCCGTTCAAGCTAAGTGTTTTGAAAAATGCCGCCGCAAAATGCATTTTTCCGGACACCCTGTATATTAGAGATCTATCTTACCAGGTTTCTGCATGCTGGAGCCGCAAAAAATCTGGCGATTTGTACTAGAGGTGGAATAAACGGTTATTTTTCTGTAACCAGGTTACAACGTTCCAGTTCAACGTTGGTAATAGGTTTCAAAAGGAACATGTTACTTTTTAAATTTTTAATTAAACATGCGCAATGATGATGATGGTAGAAATACTAATGACAAATAATGATTTAATTTATTAAAAGAATAATTCTTCACTAAAGCTCTTAGATAAAATAAAATATTCTAAAATCAAAAACAAAACATGTGTCAGAAGTACCTGCTTGAAGAACAAAAGAACTGATAATAAACTAGATAAAATATATAAATAAAAACTGATTAAAATATACGCTTTATTTGCAAATATGTTTAAAAATCTAATTTTCACTTAAAAATTAATTAACGTTTAAAAATAAAATTTTTGCAGATGTTTTTTGAGAGTTTGAAATATTACCCGCGTTAATTTTGATTTATTTGTAATTCAAGGAATCTGAAAAGCAATTGAAATAAATTAATCGAACCGTGATATTTATTAGGATTCCATAAGAACGAAAAATTATCGGGGGTAATACCACGAGTGCTTTGAAATGACCGATAATTTTTCACGATTGCATATTTTCCATAATTTCACGAGTCCGAAGGACGAGTGAAATTTGCAAGGAAAACATGCCAGAGAGAAAAATTATGTGGTTAATTTTAAAGCTCGAGTGGTATTTAGTGAGATTATTGCTCGAATTAAATATTAAAAATTAAATTTCAGAATATATTTGACATCAATCACTTTAAATAAATCAGTCGACAGTGATATTTTTTATGAATCCATGACGACGTGAAATTATCGCTGTAAGTTTTTTTGAAAATTATCGAATTACCGTTTATTAATACCTTTTTTACCCTATGGCGTTGCTATGGATGAGTGAAATAATCGCTGTAATTATTTTGAGTATTAATGTATTACCGCTTATTAAATATATTTTATGCTACATAACATTAATATAGTGAAATAATCAAGGTAATGCAACGAGTTGTGTAATTTTACATTCGAATTTTATTTCATAGATTAATTTTGATTCCGACTACCTGTTGCTGGAATCAGGAATTACTGCTTATCCTTTTTTGCTTCATAMCATTAGTAGAGTGAAATAATCACCGTTATATATCGAGTTGTGTTATTATACATATATTCCAATTTTATTTTATTAGATTGATTTTGATTCCGACTACCTCCTGATGGAATCTAAGATCTATTTTGAACCATATAAGCAAGTACTGCGAGCACTCAAACAAATGAGGGTTGATATTTTTCCAATGGAAAAGTACATAATTAAATTGGAGATGGACTCTAATCCACCTCAATATCTACGTAGAATTGTGGACTATCAGATAGAAGATGCAAAGTTTTGCCCATTTGAATTCCCAGAAAGATCTTTCCACAACTTTAACGAGTCGCAATTGAATGCTTACAAAGCTGCCTTAACAAACGAATTTGCCATTATCCAAGGACCTCCGGGAACCGGCAAAACTTACTTAGGTGAAGAACTTTAATTTTTACGTTTTTTTTTGTGATTATTACATTTTCTTTCCAGGGCTTAAAGTGATTCATACCTTGCTCAGAAACAGAAGTGTATGGTATAATAAAACTCCTATTCTGGTAATTTGTTATACGAATCACGCTCTTGACCAATTCCTTGAAGGTATCTTATCCGAAAATGACGATATTGTTAGAGTCGGGGGCCAATCAAAAAATAAACACTTGGAAGATTTTACTCTATCGACTCTAAAACGCCGGACAGTTTGTTCAGAAGCATTATTTCAGAAGAAAGTAAAAGTTCAAAAACACGTGGCGCAACAAAATGCTTTCATGGACGTCTTAAGACTAATCGATGGGAATGAAAGCATATTAAATTTTGATTTATTTAATAATATTATTGCTAACTATAGTAATACTTGGTTTTCAAGAGCTTCAAAGGCGCAAAAAATAGAATGGTTGCTGCAAGGAAAGAACGAACGCGGCCGTAGACTAGGGGTAAGCATCATGTTTAAAAAAATTGAAATGTAATTAATAATTCGAAATACGTTTACAATTGCAGTACAAAAAAAAGGCTCTCGATAATATGCAAAGTAATCGAGCTGCAGAAAATACCCCGGGTGATCTTTTAGAAGATGAGACACAACTAAACTTGGAAATGTTGGACGACATTTTCAGTGAAATCAAATTCAACACAGAAAAACCTTTGCTGTCTGTAGAACAGCTTAGAGACAGTTTGAATCGCTTAATCGTCGAATTGACAAATTTAGAACGGAAACCAGATAAAAATGTTATGTCACTTTTAAGGTGTGAAATTTTGGAATGGGAAATATGGGAAACTGAATGTAACTTAGATTATCTTCAGGTGAGTTATGTTTCATGTATATAATGTCTTATTGATTGCTATAACAAAATGGTGATCAAACAGGTTAGCTCTAAGTTGGATTTTAGGGGTGGATTCAGATTCTTAGTTTAATTTTTGTGCCTACCACAAACTATTGCCAAAAAATATGTAATGCATTTAAATAGTATTCAGTTTAGCTACTAAAACCTAGCGCTACTACGTGTACGCAATTGGTAGGGCGGTTCTAACCATAGCGCCTTAAACATCATAGTTTAATGCAGCGTCCAGTCAAGCAAAACAAATTTCATACCGTAAAGCCTCGTCCAGACGTGTAACCAAATGTCGGAAGGTTCGCTTGCACTACTTAGTTGACGACACATAAAAGTAAACTACTACTAAAGGCGACTTTGCTCGATTTTGGTAAATCAGACTTGTGTTTTGTGGTGAAATACGACAATTATACGTACAATGTATGTCACAAAATTGTTTTAATTTGACAATTTGATTAATTTCTTTACATTTTTATAAATCGTGCTCTACGGTTTTCCAAGTCTCTCGGCTACTAGACATTCTTCGGCGTCTAGACATTCAACAAAATGCTGTGCTTTTGCTTCGAATTATCGTTGACCAACTTCAAACACTAAGCACGTCACTTTAGCATCAGCCGACGACTTGATGTAAAGTAATGACTCCTCGGTAAAGTGTCAATTGTTGCGCAATTCTCCGAGAACAATGAATTAGTTGCAGTTCAAAGAAATGGAGTTCCGCCCGTTTGGACGAAAAGTCTAACATTTAGTTCGTCCAATCCATCGCCAAAATTAGCTTTAAAATTTTTCACAATGTTCCTGCTCGGCAGTATGTGCCAGTATGTACGCATCCGGTCTCGAGTCCGAACGAACCAAACATGACTGGTGTGCGACGATGCGACAACGAGGTTCTGTTCCATGGCTAGATGCAGCATGAAATGCTCAAATACTCAACTAAATGCTCAATATCGTCCACTATCTTGGTCAATTACTGGAGCCAATCGTCCAGTGTCTCTGACCCTTTGCTGGTGTAAGTTCTTACAGCTTCTGCAATGTTACTGTGGCATTTCCCCATAACTAATTGGATATTCACAAATTCAATGTTGGTGTACATTTTGTGAAAGGAGCTTCAAAGTTCTTGTTATTCTTGACAAAAGCTTTGTAATTGTAACTACCTGATAATGACAAACAACATCATTGCCGAGTATCAAACTCTTTCTTCAGCTTCCAACTTTTATTCAACTCGGTATCACTTTAAATACGGAATAGGAACAAACTAACTTCTAAATTAACGTCAACTTCACAAACAAAAACAATAACAAACGGAAAACTCGGTCTTCCTGACTCGCGGGGTTTAACCTCTTCTGAACTCTGTGGCTGCTGTAACTTCACTCCCCCCGTCTGGTTCTCGTCGCCGCTTATATAGATTCCTTCAGGTAACCCAGATGGTTCTCGAAATCTCCAGAACAGGTGCGAAACTTCCC